CGGCGATTACGGCGAACCCGTTGCAGAAATACAAACGGGACAGCGGCGCCGACGTGTCGGCATCCGAGCTGCCCGATGAACCGGAAAAAGCATACGAATACCAGCCGGCGCAGCTCGTATTGCACCGGATAAACGAATAGATTCATGATGATAAAAGTAACTTTCCCGACGGCGGCATTCGTGAGTACGCCCAGGGACGACCGCAATGCAAATTGCGGAGAGCATCAGCCCGCGCCTGGCGCAGGAGGTGTTGTCGGCTTCGGTCAACGGCGAGATCGTCGATCTGAACCGCCCGATCAACGAAGATTCGTCGGTCAAATTGCACAAATGGGAAGATCCCGAAGGCAAGAAAGCGTTCTGGCACTCTTCGTCGCATCTGTTGGCCGAGGCGCTCGAAGCGCTCTATCCGGGGATCAAGTTCGGGATTGGGCCGAGCATCGAGAACGGCTTTTACTACGATGTGGACAGTCCGACGCCGATCACGAAGGCGATCTGCCGAAGATCGAGAAAAAGATGGAAGAACTGGCGCGCACGAAGGAGGCGATCTGTCGCCGCGAGGTCAGCAAGTCCGAGGCGATGAAGACCTATACCGAAAAAGGCGACCAGTATAAAGTGGAATTGATCGAGGGGCTCGAAGACGGGACGATCAGTTTCTATACGAACGGTAATTTTACCGATTTGTGCCGCGGGCCGCACTGCCGCACATGGGGTACGTAAGGCGATCAAGCTGACTTCGGTGGCCGGGCCTACTGGCGCGGCAACGAGAACAACAAGATGCTGACCCGTATCTACGGAATCACCTTTCCGAAAAAATCGATGCTCGACGAATACCTGGCGATGCTCGAGGAGGCCAAGAAGCGCGACCACCGCAAGCTCGGCAAGGAGCTCGAACTGTTTTGTTTCTCGCCGCGCGTGGGAGCGGGCTTGCCGTTGTGGCTGCCGAAAGGCGCTGCGCTCAGAGATCGTTTGGAACACTTTTTGAGGAACGTGCAGAAGCAGTATGGGTACCTACAGGTAATCACGCCGCACATCGGGATGAAAGACCTGTACGTTACTTCGGGGCATTACGCCAAGTACGGGAAAGACTCGTTCCAGCCGATCATACGCCGGATGACAGCGAGGAGTTTCTGCTCAAGCCGATGACTGCCCGCACCACTGCGAAATCTACAAATTCAAACCGCGTTCTTACAAAGATCTGCCGTTGCGTTTCGCCGAATTCGGCACCGTGTACCGCTACGAACAGAGCGGCGAGTTGCACGGGCTGACCCGGGTGCGCGGGTTTACGCAGGACGACGCCCACATCTTTTGCCGTCCCGACCAGTTGAAGGACGAGTTCATGAAGGTGATCGACATCGTGCTGTATATTTTTCAAGACGTTGAGTTTCGATAAATTTACCGCACAGGTGTCGCTGCGCGATCCGAACAACAAGGAGAAGTACATCGGCTCGGACGAAAAACTGGCACAAGGCCGAACAGTCGATCATCGAGGCGGCCGCCGAAAAGGGACTGAATACGACCGTCGAACTCGGTGAGGCCGCCTTCCTACGGGCCGAAGCTGGACTTCATGGTGCGCGATGCGATCGGCCGCCAGTGGCAGCTCGGAAACAATCCAGGTGGATTACAACCTGCCCGAACGTTTCGACCTGACTTACAAAGGGTCGGACGACAAGGAGCATCGCCCGATCATGATCCACCGCGCGCCGTTCGGCTCGATGGAGCGTTTCGTGGCCGTCCTGCTTGAGCATACCGGCGGAAAATTCCCGTTGTGGCTGTCTCCCGACCAGGTGGTCGTGCTGCCGATCAGCGAAAAATTCAACGATTATGCGAAAAAAGTTTCAGATTTTCTAATAATTCCGATATTCGTGCTCAGGTGGACGACCGTAACGAGAAGATCGGACGGAAGATCCGGGACAACGACTGAAACGGATTCCGTTCCTGCTGATCGTCGGGGAAAAGGAGGAACAGGAAGGCACGGTGGCTGTCCGCGCCCAGGCGAAGGCGACAAGGGCGTGATGACGAAGGACGATTTCGTCGGACTGATCCGCAAGATGGTCGCCGACGAGATTCAGAAGTTGAATAAATAGAAAAGGATGAAAACGGGAGGCGGATGCCGCGCCGGAACCGGAGCCGCAAACGGCTCCCGTTTTTACAGATAAAATTTTGTTTCACTAACGTAAGGAGGACAAAACTATAATTACGAAACCACAATCGAGACCCTACATGAGGGGAAGAATGCCGGAAAAAGAGGCCGCGCATAAGATCAATAATTTTATTACGGCGCCGCAGTCAGGGTGGTCGGCGACAATATCGAGAACCGGAGTGATGTCGCTGCGCGATGCGCTGAACAAAGCCGACGAGATGGGCCTGGATCTGGTGGAGATCTCTCCGAAGGCCGATCCGCCCGTATGCCGGATCGTCGATTATTCGAAATTCCTTTATCAGCAGAAGAAAAAGGCGAAAGAGATCAAATCGAAGATCGTCAAGGTGGTGGTCAAGGAGATCCGTTTCGGGCCCAATACCGACGACCACGATTACGATTTTAAACTGAAACACGCCGAGAACTTCCTGAAGAGGGGCTAAGGTGAAAGCCTACGTCTTTTTCAGAGGACGCCAGATCGTGTTCAAGGATCAGGGCGAAATCTTGTTGCTGCGTTTCGCGACCGATCTGGAAGAGCTGGCCAAAGTGGAGCAGATGCCGCGCCTCGAAGGGAAGCGGATGATCCTGATTCTGGCTCCGAAGCCGAAGAAGTAGCGTTTCTCCCGGCCCCGATCGGGCTGCAAACAAGCCCGGAGAGAATCAGGTTTCTTTCCGGGAATTTGTGTTTTAAGAGAACTGACCTAAAACTGACCGAATGATGAAAAGATGGTTGCTCGTTTTCTGCGCGTTTCTGTGCGCCGGAGTTTCGTTTCCTGCGGCGTGCAGCGTTATCGGGTCGATTCCGCGAGCCGGGTCGTCGACACGGCCGGCACTTTCCGGAACGACCGGTTGGGATTGTCGTTCTACTTCGGCAGTTTTTATACGCAGCATGGGAGTTGCCCGCTGGATCGGGCGGCGGCCCGTATGCTGGCTGCCTGCGAGATCGACCCGAAAACCGATACGGTTCTGTTCGGCGGCGGGATGATGTTCTGCGTTCTTCGCTATTCGCGTCCGTCTTACCTGAATGAGACGAAAAAACATCCGCTCAGTTGGGAGCATCACCGGATTGTTCGGTTTATCCGTTGCTCGATACGGTACAGAACCGGCCCTCCGGCTTTGTCGCGGAGCAGAAATGCCTGTTCTCGAACGAGAAACCTGCGGAAATATTGTACGCCCGAAGAGATCGAACTGTTGACGACTTCGTCGTTTACCCCGCAAAGTGAAAGTCGCAAACGCGCCAAAACGGTGCTGATCGAAGACCTGATTCCCTGGAAGGGATGTGCCGTTTCGATGATCTATGTCCTGAAAATGTGGAACGGTAAGGACTGGGACGAATTCCAGACCTGGAAAGGGGCGGCCACTTGTCCGATCCGTCGGCTCCGGACAATATGATGAGCTATTGGCGCCGGCCGCAGAGCGATTTCGACCTGCGGCTGACTCGCGAGAACGGTATGCGGATGAAGCTGCCTTCCCGCAACCGGAGCAGCCGGAATAACGAAAAACCATTTCCAACCTAACTAACTGATTCAAAACGATGAAAAAAGGAACGATTCGATTCGGAGCGCTTGCGGCAATCCTGATCCTGACGGCCGGAACGCTTTGCTGCGCGACGTTTCCGGCGGAAAAGACAACCGGAAAGTTACTCCTGTTCCGCCGTCCGAGCGCGAGGTGGGCATCGCCTACACTTCTTGGATGGATAACGATATTTGGGGAAATACGTGGGGGATGCCGGCGCTGGGCCGGTACGATTCGCGTGACCGCCGCGTCATACGTAAACATGCCGAGTGGCTGACCGATGCGGGCGTCGACTTTATCTGGCTCGACTGGTCGAACAACGTGACTACGATCCCGACGAATTTTGGTAGGCGGGAAGCGGATTTGATCGAGGACGCTACGGCCATCCTGTTCGACGAGTACTACAAGATGGGCAAAGTAGGGATGAAACATCCGAAGATCAGTATTTTCATCGGGGTGACCGGGGCTCCGGAGCCGCTGACGACGGACGGTTGCAGAAGAAGGCCGACCAGTGTACGACATGTACGCCAACAATCCGAAATACAAGGACATGATGCAGCTATACTGGGTAAGCCGCTGTTGGTGGTGTATGTCGATACGCCGTCGCCGTGGCAGAACGGAACCCCGGAGTGGAACGACGACCGTTTCACGGTACGCTGGATGACCGGGTACGTCTCGGAACAGCCGTCGCTGCGCACCGAAGACCGGGTCAGCAAATCGGTTACTGGGCATGGGAAGACCGCGGCGAGCAGACCTATCCGATCTACGACGGGAAACCCGAGACGATGGTCGTCTGCGCTGCGACCCGCAAGCAGGGCGATCCGGGCGATGCCGGTTACATTCCGGAAAAGGACGCCGCGACGGGCAAACGCTCCGAGAGCAGTTCGCCCGCGCCCGGAGATCGGAACCCGTTTTGCGATGGTCGTGTCGTGGAACGAATGGACGACCGGCGAACAGCCGAGCGTCGAGGTCAGCAAGGATATCGAGCCCTCCGTGGAGCACGGCGACAAATATTTGAAA